AATAACAAAAGGTTAAGCTCTTGATAGGTCTTACCTATAAATGATATTAAGCCAGGTTTGGAGTTTTGGTTAATCATGGACCAACCATTCTGATTTTTGAATTGAGACAATAATTATGGCTGAAAGTGACTGGAGGATTATCTCACCAAGAGTGAGTGTTAGAAGAGGTGCTATGTCCCACTTTCTCACATGGCGCCACCTTGGATTAACTACTGGGAATTAGGACATAATGCTGAGCAACCAGGTGAAGCTATAAAATGCAGAAGGCAGGTGGACTAAAGGAATTCCTGCAGCCTGACTTGCACCCTGGTTCTATGGAAGGAGATGCATGGAGGAGTGTCGTATAGAGACACTTGAATTAGATATATGAGTGAGAGACATGTGGGGAGGCTGACAATGGCATCCATTATCTTGATGTGGTATCTTCTGTGTCTCAGCTTTCTGGGACCTGCTTCAGAACCCCTTTCATTTGGTTCCCTGCCAGAAGGTGCTTTAGACTTGTGTCAAGCTTTTGGGCCAAACCCTGTTTGGCTTGGTAACTTTGGCTGATTTATTGGGAAAAATATTCTTTCTTCTCTACCCTCTCTATGAACATTAATTCTATTAAATGTCTTCCACACAATGATGAGTCTGCTTTGCCTTTGGAGTGTGCACATTTGGGGGTCCTGGAGTACTTCTCAGGCTTATGCTAAAATGAACCGAAAAAAATCATGGACTAGCTGTTCTTTCATCTAGTTAACATAGAAATTTGTACCCACTGACTAGATTTTAAAATAATAAAAGCACCCAAACAAAATTGCATTATTATTTTATTGGCAATGGTGTTTATTCAATGTATTGGTTGAACTAATATCCTGTACCCTATTTTTGAAGTTTTAACCTATTATGGAATAATTTTTTATGCTTTATGTCAAAATTTAGCTCAATCTTTAAAGGGGTTGCATAGTATTCCTTCACAAAACTATAATTTATTTAATCAATTCCATATTAATGTCTGTTTTGTTTTTACAATTTTTTTATTATAAAGGAGAATAATATCTGTATATTAAAACATTAATACTTTCCTACTTGTTCCATTATTTCTTTAGGATAAACTTTCTGAAGTGAAATATCTGGCATGAACATAAAAAAGATGCACATTAAAAATTTTATTGTTTTGTCAAAAAGTTAGCTTATATTCTTTTTAAACAACAGTGTGTTCAAATGATAATTCTCCAGATCCTTAAAAGCTGAGAATTAGCTTTAATTTTGAGAAAGAATAGATGGGCTTAATGTCCCAATTTAACCTGTAATTCTTTGATTATTGTCCACCAATTATTACCTTTTCTTGTATTTGTGGACATTTTTATTTCTTTTCTTTTGATTTACTTGTTCATGGTAGTGAGTAAAGTTTTAATCAGATTAATAATTCCATTATGAGATTGTATTTTAGTATCTTCTTTTAGTGAAATTAATGTCAAATTGGTGGGCAGAGGTCTTTATCCTCCAATTATATATAAAGATTAATGCCTCCAATTACCATTTTAGATTAGAGTACTTTTCTGATCCTTATCTTCTATGTAACGCAAGTTTTTATGGTGTTTCTATTTTTTTTTTAAGAAGAGTGTGATTAACATGAAGCGCCTTCAGACAAAAATAAGGTTGTTAACATGCCTTTGGTGGGGAAGGGTGCTGCTTTAGTGAGTTCTTTTCTTTGTGAGATCTACTTATTAATTCCCAAAGTCAGAAAGTTCAGATATATTTGAAACAACTTTGGGATATTTATAACGACTAAAGAGGGTTTTTTGAAATGAGACAACTCAATTTCTTTACTAGACAGATGGATTCTGTGATCAATTTCAACTTTCTCTTTACTAAGGAGCTTGTCGACAGTCTCCACTTGGAGTGATGGAAGGAATGGCTATCTTTGACCTGTTGGCAGTGACTAGTTCATGGGGACCCTCTCTGTCTCTGCAGCTCTTGTTGAGCTTATACGAGCTGCAATGGTGGTACTTATTGGCAGACACTTCTTGCTCTTTCCTTGTGTCTCAGCTCAGGGGAAGGGCCTAGTGTAATCACGAGAGTAAAGCTCAGGGTTTTCCTTCCTTCTAGTCTGTGTTTGCAACTGTCCTTCTCCACTGTCCACTCAAACCCAGTCTTGCCGTAGTTCTTTTCCTGCTCAGGGATGATGTCCGAGCAGTCCCCAGCGCTTTCCCAATCATTCTTAGAGTGCAAAAGTTTCAAAGATCAGAGTAGCCCAAGCATAGTCACATTTCATTAACCAACACACATCCACTCCAAACAACCCATTGTCCAGTATACTGGATACCCATGCAGGATCATTGTTAATATTTCCTCCCTCTATCACACCATATTATTTTCAGTAATAATCATGAGAGGAGACTGATAATAATAACAATAATAATAATGGCCAAAAAAAGAAAGATTTACAATGACATTTTTCTTTTATCAAACTTCCATATAAAATCATACCAGGAAGCAACAAATAAATAAACAATAAAACAAATACAAAACAGAAAAGGGGGAAAATAGTGAATGAACACTTAATACATTAGGATTTGTTTTTAAAGAAGGAAAAAAATGACAGTAGTTTTCAGTCTGTTCAGTTTTAAACCATGTGCTATCATGTCTTATATCTACTGATCAAATGCAGGAAGATGTGGTATCACTAGAGCAGGAGATATCAAACTGTCTGAAACCAACACAAATGATTCTGAATCCTTAAGAACTTACTCTTAAAATGAATGTATATAGCTAAATTCAAGTGTGTTGGGACCAACTGGACAGCAAGGAACTTTCTGAATTAACTGCTATGTAGAAAATGCTAAAGAGAAGTCTTTCAAAGTGTACTCATTGGAAGCCTACATACATATTAGTTCTTTTTTAAATTGAGGTAATATTAGTTTACAACACTGTTTAGGTACCAGGGGTACATTTTCTCACCTCAGCGACTACTAGACCAAATGTCCAGCCACCACCCACCACCCGCCAGGGATGCCCCCTCTACTCATTCCCTTCTCCTTCCTTCCCTCTTGTAACTACCATTCTGTTGTCAGAGTGTAAGAGTTTGTTTTTGGTTTTGTTTCGTTTGTCCATTGTTCCTTCCCCCTTATATTCTACAAGTGAGTGACTTATTTCACTTAATGAAATGTGACTTCTGACTTATTCCACTTAGCATAATCCCCTCAGTGTTCAGCTATGTTGTTACAAATGGCAGGACATCATCTTTTCATGGCTGAGTATATATTCCATATCTTCTTTATTTATTCATCTTTCATTGGGCACTTCTCTTGTTGCCACATCTTCACTACTGTGAATAGTGCTACAGTGAACATATTTTTTTGATGATGTTTTCATTGCATATATTTTATTAATACTTAAGAATAACCGCAGAAACTGTTTAGATGATAGACCAGCAAAAATAATTTTGGGGGAAGAATTTTATCAATGACATTATATAGAATTGTCACATGATGATAAGAAGCAGCAGACCGACATTGATAGATTTTATAATTCTTTTAAATTCTATGCTGATGTTGACTCCTTGATGCCTTAGTATAATATAAACTCTAGAGTTTGAAGTCAACCTTCAGGAAAACTCAGGAATTTCCTAAGACCCATGGAAGAAAATGGAGCTCAAAGTAAAAACTATACTCAGTTATTAAAGAATAGACAAAGTTATTTTCTTAAATATCTGAGTTTGTGGCTAGAAATTTGTACTCAGGAACTTGTTTTCCACAAACTGCTTATTGGTGTTATAGCATTCCTCTCTCTCTCTCATTTGAGCCCTGGGTCTTCTTTCCATTTGGTGCAGCTTCTGTTGCAGAAATATTTAAAATTTTTATTTTGAAGAGAAGAATCACTTCACAAGTTGACACATGATGCCGCTCCCTACCCCCGACTCCCTCCTCAGCATAGCATGAATACATCATCTCAGGACAGTCTGCACAGATTTCAAGCAATGCCACACCCAATGTCAAGTCCCCTCCCAATATCAAGCTGGTCACAAGGTGTCATATGTTACCAATGTTGTAATAATCCAGGCTGATTGAGATGTTGTACATATTGACATTATAATGACCCTGATGGGTGGAGACAATTGAGATAGAGTGGCTTAAGTTATTAATAAAAAGCATCCACTTGCTTATGAATAAACAAACATGGCTAAGCAAGGACAGATAAAAATCTGCCTGTGTGAGATTCCACCCAGATCAAAATTAACAGACTGTCCTCATAAGATGTCTCTGAAAAGTGACATAAATCAAATTGAGGTAACTTGAGATGCTATGGATTCCATACCTGTGTTCCTGAAGCCTTCTCCGGAGTTTGGTGAGAACTATGATGGACTCTGGCTGCTAGAGGTGGCTACTCCCCTTCTCCTTGCAGACAAGAATTCCAGCTGTCTGGACCTGGCCCTACCCATTCTGTATCACCAGTGTCTCAAACTTTGCAGAGAGGTTCCTCACCTTTTCCCTTTTTTGTTACCAATTAAATTGTGTGTTTATGTAATTGCAATGTGGATTCTGCCCCCTCCATCTAAATTCATATTGTGGTTGTATGCATTTGACTTGAATAATGAGTGAAACTTTCCTGCTTCATGGAAGTTAATATTTAGAGATTCCAAACCTGATAAAACAGGAAGTCCCTTTCACCCTTGCTTCCCTCCTCTCTTCAGGGAATCTCATACCCTCATCTTCATTGGCAACTTCTGCCAGGCTACTCTAGGGAGCTAAAATTGATCCCTCAATGACTTCATTCTGAAAAGCATTGATCTGAATATCTGTGGCAGAGTCAGGGGCCCTGAGTCATAGAAGGGTTGGTGGGGGGCTCTCTGGTTAAGCAATGGAAATTTTTCTGAACAGTGAAATCCAATGTGGCTTTGCAAATGACTGCTGGTGAGTGAGTCTTCAATTAGGATGCCTCTTTGGTGGTGTTTTAGATCGCAATTAATCGAAAGTCCTCCAGGGAGGCACAATCAGTGTACCCCCAACTGGGTCTGATAGCTCTCCAAAGCCTCCCTGGGGTGCAGTGCCCCTGCCAAGAAGGCACTGCAGCAATTAAAGAAGGTTTGCTCACTGAGCTTTGGGGTATATTTATCTTCAAGCAAATGTTACAGTTGGTGCTTTCTTTTGCCAAGCTTGGTAATACCCAGCCTCCAATCCTTCACCATCTCCTAACAGAGAGGAGGGTTCAACACAAACACACAAAAAAATCCTTCTGGTGAGAGGAAGAGCTCCAGGTGAATATCTATTAGATACACTATGTCAGCCACATTCAAAGACATCTTGTTGACCTACTGTGAGTCCCACCTAAGCTGTGAATTAGAAGAGGTGCTGGGCTTTTTTTTACCCAGAGTTGGTGGGAGGGAGGCTGGGCGGCCAGGATGGCACCATGCTGGACAATGGGGAGCATTGACGAAGTGTTCCCATTTATTGGCCGAGCGACTGCATCAGTCATTCATTCACAGGCACAAGGTCTAAATTGCAGAACCAATTAACAGCACTAATAGCCCTTGCCTGAATTAATCTTTGAGACAAAAGGGAGGAGAAGTGGAAGTGCTATTAGCAAATCAAGCTGTACCATCCCTGCTTTATTGCGGAAATCTCAGTGTCTGTATGTGGCTATTGTGCGATGACTGCAATTACAGCCCTCATTTAAAAATGATTAAGTGGTTATAATTATTTTTCAATTAAAACTTATATCTTCCATTTATGCAACATTTCAGACTTCAATTAAACTTCTTTTTAAAAGTGCCACTGAACCAAAAGATTCCTGTTTCCTCTTATACCAGGAAGCCCTAAACTCAACACTCAACTCCAGATAGGATTTTGATGTCCAACTCTCAAAATGAGTTTCATTAAATTTAGAAATCATGACAAGAGTTAACAAGTGGTACAAAAACCTGTGGTGTGGGCTGGAAGTGAGCACCACTGTGACCATGGTGTGGAGGAACAACCATTCCAGCTCTTCCTGGGGGGCCTGGGAAATTTGTAACCACCAGAAAAGAAGGTATTCCCACCGCTGGAAGGCAGTGTTGCTGAAGTGTTGACGCCTCAAACTAGTTTAGAGCAGCTATGCTCTTGCCGTAGTGATGACTGCTGTAAGAAAGGAGAAAATTTTAAGTAATTTAATTCATTAAAAAATGAGAGCAGTTTTAGGGTTTTCCACTTAAAACATTTCTTACTAGAGTTTTTCCTGATCCTTTGTTTGGTTTCCCTATATTCCCCTTATAAGTGATAGTTGATATTTATCTTCATCCTTCTGATGTATTTCATCCATGTTGCTGCAAATGGCATAAGTTTATCTTTTTTGATTGCTGTCTAGTATTCCATTGTGTGTAAATACCATATCTTCTTGATCCATTCACCTGTTTGGGGGCATTGAGGCTTGCAAGCTGACCATGGATCTGAGGCACACAGCAAGGGAGGGGAGGGAGAGAGATTTGGGTCAGAACAGGAGGGAGAAGAGCACAACCATGTAAAAAAATTAATAAATAAACCAGTAAAAAAATAAAAACCAAAACAAAACCTGTTTTACTAGACTTTTGTGGGCTTTCTTGAGGAGGAGAGAAAGGAATTGCTAGGAGTTACACATAAACCATAACCTGTTTTATCTTGCTGCTGCCTACCATCTTGTCCTTCATGGTGACTTCACGGGGCATGACTGTGGTGGTGGATAAAGGGTTGAGAACCTCTGGGGTCTAGAAGTTCCACTCAGGAATGTTTCATAGAGACCTGCTCACCAAATTGGTGAGGACCAGAATTGTAAAAAACAGTTCTTACCCTGAAACAAGCTGTGTAAAGTGTCAGTTGTTATTCTAACACCAGCTGACCTATTCTGAGTTAATAACCTCCACTTTACTCTGTGATCTTGAAGACATCTGTGCCACATGTAATGACTTTTAAGCTCACACAATTAAAAGAAATCATTTCTAATTCTTGTTTCTTAATAACTAAGTCCTGGTTTCTCTGACCTATTTCTGGCTCTGGTGAGGAAAATTATGTCTCATGAAATGGAAGGCAACGGTGTAATGAATCTTGAGCCTGAACCGTGGACCTGACCTTGCCAAAAAAAGTCAGACAAAACTGATGGTCCCGACCTGCAAGGAAGAGATGTACTATTGCAATTTATACATATATTCCTTTTAAAAAGCATTAAATGAAGTATGTCATCTGATATTCCTTATGCCTCAAAGTACTGTTAGTTTTTTTATGCTTATAAATTAATGTGTTATTGTAGAATATTAGAACATTTGGGAAATAAACATAGGCAAAAAAAATCAAATCAAATGAAATGACCTATAACCACTCTTAAGGATTTCGTGTAATACTTCCCAGTGGTGTAGTAACCTACACCTTAAGAGGTGTGAACCAGTATGTTTTACTCATATGCAGTGTTGTAAACCAATGTTATTGCAATAAAAAGAAAGCTATTTATAGGCAAAAAAGTTATTTCTGATTAAAGTTAGATAGCAATGTCTCTCTTATCCTGACCCCCACAGGGAAGAGGGCCTCCCTGGGAGCTTCTTCCATCAGGGTTGTCTCCAGGGCTCAGGAAAAGGATAGAAGTTCTTATTGAGCTCTGTGTATTTGCATCCAGGGAAAAAAAAAACACACCAAAAAACCAACAAAAAAGAAAAACCAAAAAAAAAAAAACAAAACCTATGAGACCTTTTAACTTCAGAGTGAGGAGTTGTTCTTGGTGCATAAAAAACAAAATGGAGTTCAAAACCTACAGCAAGTGAAAAGTAGGGTCAATTCCACTAGATTTTTTTCTTTTTTAATTGTAAGTGCAATTTTCCCAATTTAATATTTTAATACAGTGTGTTACAGTTGAATTGCTATTTTTGACTTTCAGCTATATATCTAAATAACCTTTATCATATCTGTATTATTTCCTATTGAACCAGCTACTTCACATTAGCTATTTCATATAGTTTACATGACACACTTATGAGGTAGATGTAATAAAACTAAATTTTCAGATGGGATTAAGGTTGTTCAGAGAGATTATGAATTTTGCCCTTGGTCACATGGCTAATTGGCGGCAGAGCTGGATTTACTTGTACATTTTAGCATTACTACCAGCTTTAGTAATTACAATGGCTTTATAGAAAGTCTGATATCTTAAATAAACCAAACACTTATATGGACAATTGATCTTTGACAAAAGAGCAAAGAATATGCAATGGAAAACGGACAGTTTGTTCAATAAATGGTGCTGGAAAAACTGGACTACCACATGCAAAAAAATGAAACTAGACCACTAGCTTTCACCGTGCACAAAAATCAACTCAAAATGGATAAAAGAACTGGACATAAGGGCCTCCCCGGTGGCGCAGCGGTTGAGCGCTGGGTTGCGAAACAGCCCGCAGCCTCTGCAGCGCTGGTTCGATCCCCGGCTGCTCCCCGGCCACCGGAGGGGGGTCCCACATGGCGCGCAGACCTCTCCTGCCGCCCGCTGCTCCCCTCAGCAGTGTACTTCGGTCCTTCTGCCTGCTCTGCTCCCTGCTCTGGCTCTGGTGAATTCTCTCACCCTCCCGCGCTTCTGACTGTACCCAGTGCTTGTATAAATAAATAAATAAATAAATCAAAAAAAAAAAAAAAAGAACTGGACATAAGACCTGAAACCATAAAATATATAGAAGAAAATATAGGTAAAACACTACAAGACATACATCAAAATACCATCTTTAAAGACTCATCACCCAAAGCAAAGAAAGTCAAGGAAAAGATAAACACCTGGGATTACATCAACTGAAAAGCTTCTGCACAGCAAAAGAGACATTAACCAAAGCAGAGAGACACCCCACTAATTGGGAAAAAAAATCTTTGCACTCCATTAACTGATAAGGGACTGATCATAAACATAAACTAAGAACTCAAAGGACTCAACAAAAACAAAATAAACATCCAGTCAAGAAATGGGCAGAACATGGTATTGGAACAAGAACAGACATGCAGACCAATGGAATCGAATAGAAAATCCAGAAATAAACCCACAGATTTATGGTCAAGTAATCTTTGACAAAGGAGCAAAGACTATGCATTGGAGCAAAGAAAGTTTGTTCAATAAATGGTGCTGGGAAAACTGGGTAGCTACATGCAAAAGAATGAAGCTTGACCACTACCTCTCACCATACACAAAAATCAACTCAAAATGGATTAAAGAACTAGACATAAGACCTGAAACCATAAAATACATAGAAGGAAATACAGGGGAAACACTATGTGATATGCACATCAAAGACATCTTTACAGACACATCACCCAAAGCAGTGATAGTGAAGGCAAAGATTAACAGCTGGGACTATATCAAATTAAAGAGCTTCTGCACAGCAAAAGAGACAGTAACAAAAACAAAGAGAAACCCCACCAACTGGGAGAAAATTTTTGCACACAACACTAATGATAAAGGACTGATCACAAAAATCTGCAAAGAGCTGATGAGACTCAACAACAACAAAGAAAATAATCCAGTCAAAAAATGGGCAGAAGAGCTAAAAAGAAACTTCTCTGAAGAGGAAATGCAAATGGCCAACAGGCATATGAAAAAATGTTCAACATCACTTGTAATCAGGGAAATGCAAATCAAAACTACCATGAGATACCATCTTACACCAGTGAGAATGGCACATATTAAAAAAAAAAAAAACTAGCAACAACAAATGTTGGTGAGGATGTGGAGAAAAAGGAACTCTCCTGCACTGTTGGTGGGAGTGCAAACTGGTCCAACCACTATGGAGAGCTGTGTGGAGATTTCTGGACCTACTAAACATAGAGCTTCCATATGATCCAGCAATTCCACTCCTAGGTATTTACCCAAAGGACACAGAAACATCAATTCCAAAGAGCACCTGCACCCCTATGTTTATAGCAGCACTGTTTACAATAGCTAAGCTTTGGAAACAACCTAAATGCCCAAAAATAGATGACTGGATCAAGAAGATGTGGTACATATACACCATGGAATATTACTCAGCATTCAAAAAAGATAAACACATGCAATTTGCAGCAACATGGATGGATCTGGAAGGGATCATGCTCAGCGAAATAAGCCAGAAAGAAAAAGAAAAATACCGGATGGTCTCACTCATAGCAGGAATCTAGAAAACTTAAATAAGAGACCAGGAAAATGAATAACTATAAGAAAATGAAAATGAAAATCAACAAACAACTATGAACCAGAGACATTCTATGGGGATTGGGGGGCGGGGAGGGGAGAGACTGGGGTCAAAATAAGGGGATTGCAATTGTATGGGGAATATAAAAATAAAATTTATTTAAAAAAAAAAAGAAATGGGCAGAAGAACTTAAAAGACATTCTTCCAAAGAGGAAATGCAAACGGCCACAGTCATATGAAAAAATGTTCAACATTCCTTATAATCAGGGAAAATCACATTGAGATACCACCTTACACCACATATCAAAAAAACAAGCAACAACAAATGTTGGCAAGGATGTGAAAAAGAAACTCTCCTATTTTGCTGATGGGAGTGCAAACTGGCCCAACCACTATGGAAAGCTGTCTGGAGGTTCTTCAGTCTACTAAAAATGGAGCTACCATATGGCCCAGCAATTCCACTACTAGGGATCTAGCCAAAGGACACAAAAACATTGATTCAAAAGAACACCTGTACACCTATGTTTATTGCAGCACTATTTACAATAGGTAAAACCCGGAAACAACCCAAATACCCAAAAATAGATGACTGGATCAAGAAGATGTGGTATATATACACAATGGAATATTATTCAGCAATCAAAAAAGATAAACTCATGCCATTCACAGTAACATGGATGGAGCTAGAAGGAATTATGCTCAGTGAAATAAGCCAGATGGAAAAAGAAAAATATCGGATAGTTTCACTTATAACAGGATTATAGGGGAACCAGATAAGACATCAGTGTAAAAAAAATAATAACAGTACAAAACACAACAAAGCAAAAATGGACAACTATAAATCAGAGACATACTGCAGGGGAGGAGGAGGGAGAAGGATCAGGGGGAGGGAGGAAGGAGCACAGGGGACTGTTGATGGTGCACGGGTGCCTTGGGAAGGAAATCCTATGGGGACTCAACCTGAGGGGGTGGGGGGGAGCAAATATTTTATTTTTTATAAAATAAAAAATTAATAAATAAAATTAAAAATTAATATAAAATTAATATAAAATAAGTATAAAATAAAAATTAATATAAAAATAATTTTATGTCATGAATTTTTATCAAACATGTTATATATCTTCTTTTATATTGTGAAAATTCAATAAATATTTTGTAAGGGCTACAAAAAAAAAGAAAGCCTGATAGCTGGTACCTTCCTCCCTTGCTCCTTTGCCACCCCAAAGTAGTCCTACCCTTTCCCCACCCATCCACCTTGTTCCTCTTCTTTAAAAGGGTCATTGATTTTCTTGGCCCTTTACTCTTCCATGTGAATTTAAAGATGAGCTTGTCACATTCCATAAATAAAACCCCTGTTGGGATATTGATTGGAATTACATTAAATTTATAGGTTACTTTGGGGAAGACTTGACATCTTTATGAGATTGTCTTCATATCTGTGAACATTGAGTATCTCTGTTTTTTTAGGTCTCTTT